AATATCACGTACAAATCATGCTATTATTTGTTTATACTATTACCAGCAAAAGGTTTGTAATTTTCACATGTAGGTATTTCAAATTAAGCTGAAATACCACTGCCCCAAGCCAATCAAACTGGAGAAATTTGTCATGTAGTAGCATAAAGAACATTACATACAGTAGTTGAACATCCAAAAAAACTAAACTAGTTGGGTGACCACTAAATATGTGAAAGGACTGGAAAGAGGCATAACAAATACAGGGGCACCCAATGTATCTGTTCCTTAAAGTATGCGTTCTTCAGGCAAAATTTTGCTGGCTGGGAGTTGTGGAAGAAACAATATTTCCCTCGAAGGCAAGTGTCGCTGGGAAAAAAGACAATTCAGGGTGTCTGAAGGGATTTGATTTGTAGAATAGGTGCTACTAATGTTATTTGTCAGAAACCTCTCCCCCCTCCCCACCCCCTTGGGCCACACCCATTTTCTTCCCCCCCACCCCCCCCCCCCCCCCACCCCCTTGGGCCCCACCCTTTTTCTTCCTGCCCCCCCCCCCCCCCACTTTGCCCTAGGACCAGGCTCCCTGGACGTCTGCTGGGAAATTTCACAGTAAGTCTGGTTGCAGGTTGTACTGAGGTGCACCTTGCTGTCTGGGAACTGTCTTCCATCAGTCTTGCTGGGAGTCAGGAACAGATAAATTTTTCCCCGCAATCTCTCAAATGCTTAAAATGGCTTCAGAAAGCTTTATTTATGCTTTGTTGTTGTTTTTAGGTCTTTTTCTCAAATTTCCCGTTGGATGCCCCTGCAAGTATATTGATAATACATATCCCAAAGTGTCACAAGACTTTTGTCCATGATTGTAGGTCAAACTCACGGTGTCTACTGACTAACGTAAGTAATTGTGTGTGCGATATCTTAACCCCAAAACTCACTTGGACTTCTTCGGTCGGCCGAAGAAGTCGAAGTGAGTTTTGGGGTTGAGATATGGCTCGAGTAAGATTGAGGTATTAGGATATATGACAGATATATGGGAGAAGGTATAAGGATATATGAAAGAGGTATATAGAGTAAAGTGGTTTGGGGCATCGAATACCATATACAGTTATAAATTCTAAGTGTCCGGTTAGCAAGTCTGAAAACGAGAATCACTCGCAGCGCATGAATCCCGGTATAACGAAGAGTCTGATTAAATGCATTTGTTTCTAGCTAATTATGTTCTATTCTATATAAAGGGCCGCACACCCAGCTGAAAAAGCAGTTTTTCTCTATCCCAAGGTAGCTAGGGATGTAGGTACCGTAAATGATCGATTAAGCGTCGCTACTCGAATAAGCGCCGCACCTATAACAGGAAAATGAAATAAGGGCCGGGGCGCTTAATCGATCATTTACGGTTATGTGATATCCACGTATTTCATCAATTGAAAGAAGCTGGTACACCATTAGAGAAGACTCGTGTTAAAAGAAAATCAGGGACCGATATCACTGTTCCTGGTTAAAAAGGAATTAGTTAGTGTACAATAGTTATATTTAACGCTTAATTAATGGCAATACCAGTATCTATAAATTATGTTGACTGTTAGTAAAGCACTGAGTGTAATGTTGGACAAAAATGTCATTGGATGGTAGAGTATGGTGCCGTCAAGTAAAACCTACCAGGTGTGTCCATAGGGGTGGGTGGGCAAGGGGTTTATTTTCCTTATTATCAAGTGGTGTAACTTATCTTTCAATCTTACACATGGGTGTATCAGTTTCAGAGTTAACAAGAGCACTTTACACGATATCGGCAATGTTGGGCTCACATCGCGTGCTACTCTTGCTGCGGAGTCAGCATCTTTCCGGTGGCAAGCTGAGCTTAATTTTCAGAAGTTCCTTGGCTACTCCTAACAGTTTGCTCATTCCGAGTCACGTGCACAGATGGATCATTTTATTACATGTACGTAATCCATTTTGCTTGCTTCATGGCATAATGAAACGGCCACTGCCATTTTTTTAAAAAAATAAAGAGTTCATCAAATCGCCCCGTGACTTGAGCGTCTGCAGCTTCAAACTCAGAATAAACTTGAAATATTAAGTGCCGGCGATATTGGACAGAAGTATTGTGAGGATTTTGGAAGGGAAAAACAAAATAAATTTGAAACCGAAACGACAACTCACCGAGATTCGATAACCTGTTGAACTACATCACTCCGCAGGAGATGTAAAAAAGAAAAGTAATAAATGTTTAAAAATGGCTTTAAAAGCTACAAAAATGAATTTTTCAAAACTCACCTGTTTGTGAATGTCTTGGTTTCAACAGAAGCAGGCTGCTAACTGAACATACCAAAAGAAAATGCCGGCGATGTGGCTGGTTCAAGTTACAGCTGTCCGCCTTAACTTATAATTCCTCGCCGTTCAGTCCACGCTGCTAATAGCCACCTTCGAACGCAGCCGGCCAAGCTGTTATCACTCTTTTCTTTCTAGCAGGTGCTCTGTTTTTCAACGAATCACGGCTATGCAGTGGATAATGATATCAAATGACATTTATTTGGCACAATAATTATTTTTTCTTCTTTGCCATGAGGGACGGACCATTACTTTTTCACGGGGGCAGCGGGGGGGGGGGGGGGGGTGGAAAATTTTAAAAAAATTGGTTGGCGAAGGTTGTAAACCCTGAAAAAAATGGAATGAATTTTAAAAAGGTGTTGGGGGAAAAAGGAAAAACCGGAAAAAAATCTTTTCAAGGGGGGGCGGCTTAAAAAAAAAATGTTGGAATGTAAAAAGTTCCAAACCCCCCACCCCCAAAAAAATAGATATAAACTGGTGTTTTTATTGTATTAATTATTTTTTTTGTTCTGAGGAGGGGTGGTGGGGACTCTATTTTTGTGCGGGGGGGGGGGGGGGGGGGGGGGGAGGGTTGGAAAATTTGAAATAAATTGTTTGCAGAAGCTGTTAACACTGAAATAAATTGTATGCATTTTAAAAAAGTGTTTGGAGGAAAACGGAGACACGCAAAAAAAATCTTTGCAGCGGGAGCTGCTTATAAAAAAAATGTTTGCATGTGAAAATTGTCCAACCCCCCACCCCCGTCAAAAAGATAACGCGTTAACGGTCCGTCCCTTATTAGTTCTGTGTCATTTGGAGACCCCAGAAATTTTATCTATCGATTGGCCTTATTATACATGATGGCCAAAACATTAGAGAAGAAGAGCCCGTAACGCATAGTGCTCGATCTCGGCGATCTTATGGAAAAATAGGAGATTGTAAACAGTCTAGTTTTGCCGCAAGTCCATGAAATAAAAGTGTTGTTACTATGGAAAAGTGGCAGTGTGTACTAAACGTTTGGAGGACGCAGATACGCAACCGTTTCCAAGGTGACTTATGATCAGAAAATAGGCCTTTGCAATGGTTCTTCACGTGACCAACTTTCTGTAAACACGAAAATAGTTAGCTTTTGGAAACCTTTGTTCGCAGGAACTGGAAGAGCATATTAAAATTAACTAACCTGTACATTTTCGGCCGAAAATAAGAGTTTTATGAGAAAAACAACTCTTGCCACCCAGTCACGCTTGAATGGTTTTCCATACAAAAAATTGAAATTTTTAAACTGTCTCTAAATCTTTCTCAAATTGCCCGTTATGGATAAAAAGAAGATTTGAGCCCCGTAATGCTCTTTTTCAAAATACGACAGTTTGAAAATATCGCAATTGACAAGGATTTGTAAGGAAAACCAAAATTTTACAGGTTACCTAATTTTGTTATGCTCTTTTAGTTCTTGTCAACAAAATTTTCAAAACCGAACTGTTTTCACGGGAAGTTGATCACGTGATCAGCTAATGAAAAGAAAAGGCTAGTGCCAGGTAACCTCCCTCCAGTTAGCAGCTTAGCGGCCTCGCACGATACCCAAAGCCAAGGAGGCTCGGCTACCAAGTTTGTCGCCAGGGACGCATTTCAAAATGGCGTCTGGAAACCCATTACTGACTTTAGAACGGATGCTAAATGGAAGGACTACGTTAAAAACTCAAAAACTAACCCACAACAATATCATATGTGAGTGAAGATCGTATTTTCTTTCTATTTTGCTTTCTAAATTGCCATATTTTGACGAAGAGAGTTAAACAGAACCTTTTGAAGATGATCTATGAATTGAATTCTAGAACAACAGAACGACTCATCAATCCACTTGCACTGTATGTGATCTGTGACAGTGGCGTAGCTGCCTTTAAGCCATCATGCCCGGGCTTAACAGGAATTTGAGCAAAAATAGGTGCAGGTTATCATGCGTTCTCGATCGAACTAAAATATTGACGAGGGCAATTCTAGAAGCAAGAGTCTTGCAACACCNTCTTATGGAAAAATAGGAGATTGTAAACAGTCTAGTTTTGCCGCAAGTCCATGAAATAAAAGTGTTGTTACTATGGAAAAGTGGCAGTGTGTACTAAACGTTTGGAGGACGCAGATACGCAACCGTTTCCAAGGTGACTTATGATCAGAAAATAGGCCTTTGCAATGGTTCTTCACGTGACCAACTTTCTGTAAACACGAAAATAGTTAGCTTTTGGAAACCTTTGTTCGCAGGAACTGGAAGAGCATATTAAAATTAACTAACCTGTACATTTTCGGCCGAAAATAAGAGTTTTATGAGAAAAACAACTCTTGCCACCCAGTCACGCTTGAATGGTTTTCCATACAAAAAATTGAAATTTTTAAACTGTCTCTAAATCTTTCTCAAATTGCCCGTTATGGATAAAAAGAAGATTTGAGCCCCGTAATGCTCTTTTTCAAAATACGACAGTTTGAAAATATCGCAATTGACAAGGATTTGTAAGGAAAACCAAAATTTTACAGGTTACCTAATTTTGTTATGCTCTTTTAGTTCTTGTCAACAAAATTTTCAAAACCGAACTGTTTTCACGGGAAGTTGATCACGTGATCAGCTAATGAAAAGAAAAGGCTAGTGCCAGGTAACCTCCCTCCAGTTAGCAGCTTAGCGGCCTCGCACGATACCCAAAGCCAAGGAGGCTCGGCTACCAAGTTTGTCGCCAGGGACGCATTTCAAAATGGCGTCTGGAAACCCATTACTGACTTTAGAACGGATGCTAAATGGAAGGACTACGTTAAAAACTCAAAAACTAACCCACAACAATATCATATGTGAGTGAAGATCATATTTTCTTTCTATTTTGCTTTCTAAATTGCCATATTTTGACGAAGAGAGTTAAACAGAACCTTTTGAAGATGATCTATGAATTGAATTCTAGAACAACAGAACGACTCATCAATCCACTTGCACTGTATGTGATCTGTGACAGTGGCGTAGCTGCCTTTAAGCCATCATGCCCGGGCTTAACAGGAATTTGAGCAAAAATAGGTGCAGGTTATCATGCGTTCTCGATCGAACTAAAATATTGACGAGGGCAATTCTAGAAGCAAGAGTCTTGCAACACCTTTTGCTCTTTGCACAGAGCAATTTACTTTTTTTCATTCTGAATTTCTACCTAACGTTGTTCTGTTGTGTCGCTGTTTTGCTATCTATGAGCAGTTCCCAGACCCCCTTGCTTAGATTAAAAGTTTCATGAAAAATTGACAGAGGCGCTTGTGAAGCCACAGCTTGCGAAGCCAAAGATCGTCATTAAGTACCACAAAGAGGGTAAAAAAGTTCATGCGATCCTCGATGTCAACAGATCGACTACCGTGTGGCACGAAATTTTTGCGGGTTCTAAATTTTGCGATTTTTGCAGTTTTTCCAGTGATCCACAAAAAGAAGTTCCCGCAAATAAAAATTACCGCAAACATTTTTCATGCAAAACTTTATTCCAGAGTTAATATTCTTTAACTTAAATTTGCGACACAAAAATACAGTGCTAAGAAATCATGCCTGTTTGATCACAACTTGTCTCTTTCATTCAGAAATGACGACATACTGGTATATTATTTGAAAATATGTATTTCTATTTCAAGTACTCAATAAAAATGGAAATATTATCAATACTTGGTACTGGTACTTTCTGAAAATCGCAAAAATTGATTCCCAGCAAGAAAAACCAGTCTGTCCTAATCGCAAAAATCACAAAAAGTCGCCAATCCGCAAAATTAATATCCCGCAAAAATTTTATGCCACACAGTATCATCTTTAACCCTCTTGCATGCCTATAAAGAGATGCCCATTGACTCGTGGGAAAGAGTCGTCAGTGATTTTCCTACAAAAAAAAGGCCAAGAAGACTTGCGTTTTATTGACGGGTGGTAAATAATAAATACTGATCAAACTTTCCTTGTACTCATTATGGCATTCTTTTTCGGACATGTCGGAAAAGCAGACTCATTCAGACTGTTTTTCCCTTTTGTGCTAATGTTCTAAAAATGTGCACTTTTACAGGGTCAACAACAGATTTTGCAAGTTTCTATTTACGTAAGACGTTGGCAAAAAAAAGGTTTTGAATAAAGAGAAACCTATTTATAGAAGCCTTTTAATCAGTGCACCTAATATTTTTGTTCTTTAGATGACTGTCTGGATTGCATTTTTTTTCTTAATATTATCAAAATTCTTCATTATATTGCGCATGCTGTGCTGTTAGTTTGTTAATTAGTTTGTGCCTTATAAACATGTCAAACAAAATAATAATCATCGTCATTAACATCATCATCATCATCATCATCATCACTGCTATTATTATTATTATCATCATTGACCTCCTGGGTTTAAACTGAAAAAATGCCTGGTCATGCCCGTGTGTGAAATATCTGTAAATCATGGATTCATATTGTATAAACTTCTAGGCATTGGAACAGGGCTTCTTAATGAAATTCAGGAAGTTATGAGGGAAGATAAAGAGAAAGCAGTCAGGGAGGCTGTAAGTAAAAAAATTGAAGTAATACATGAGTTATCTAATTTGCCAGGTTTAGTCTGAAATTATTTAGTCAGCTGTTTTTTTGCCTAAACCTCCCTCAATGGACAAGAAGCCAGTTAACACACAACAATATATCATTAAAAAATACAATTATCATGATCATGATCATCAAATCATGCATGTTTTCCAGGTAGCAAGTGTTGGTATTTGCCATGACATTTTGGTTAATTTTTGGGGGTATAAAAAGTACAATCAGTCAAGTTGGTCAGTCAATTTATCAGCAAGAAGAAAAAGTTATGAGAATTTTCAAAATGATCACTAAAGGGAAAATGCTTTGCTTCTTTTATCAAATTCTCCGAACTAATTCCTCTAGAAAGTGTATGGGGATCAGTCAGGAGAATTTTTGTTAGGATTTTGGGGCTGCAAGGCTCATATTCAACCTAGATGCACTGGTACCAAGGAAAAGTTTCAATTATACATGAATATCTTGCTATGTTGAGAACCGACTAATCAGATAAAATGTCTAACAATGCAGTCTTTCAAAGCATCATAAAGCCTACTACATGAAAGTCAACCTTTAGACAATAGGCTGGATTTGAAAAGTTGGTTACATTGTAACTTTATCTTCTCTTAAGCTATATACACATACTCAGTTGGGGTTGGTGGCAAAAGAGACCAATTTTATTATTTATTATTGTCGAATACAGGTTGCTGCAGCTGAAGCAACAGCAGAGGCAGAGTTGAGGCAGTCTCTGAAAGAGTTGAGAGAAAAAATGGACGACGAGAGGGAACAAGCTCTGGAAGAAGCAAGACTGGTAAACAAATTTTCTCAGCTCATTGCTTTTCCTAGAATTTAAACTTGGTGCAAACAGTTTTATTTCATCCAAAGGCAAAAGAACATACTAGCCAAGAGAGGCCACCAGCTCTTGAAAGAGCACAACTGAGTATCCTTCATTGTTGCAAAAAATATTGTTTTGTATTGCATCATTTCTTTCCCGCACAATGCGAAAGGTTACCCACAATAATTATTTTCATTGTCTCTGAAACCAGATCATCAGTTATCATCATTCACCATTTCATTTCCAGAGAAATTTAAGGAGACATACTGGTATTATCTAATAAAAACCTTTGAGTCTCTGAACAAGATTCTGTAATGAGAAAAACCTCTTTACCCACTTAAGCTAAAACCTCATTAGCACTACTTTTACATGGTTCAATGTTTTGTATTTAGTATATACAGTGGAACCTGGTTAATACGGACACCAAGGGCACATGCCATAGTGACTGTATCATCCAGGTGTAGGTATATATATGGGGCTCTCAGAAAAAACTTCACAAACACAGGGCTGTCGCTAAAATTTCAGGTTGGCGGGTGAATACNGTATTGCATCATTTCTTTCCCGCACAATGCGAAAGGTTACCCACAATAATTATTTTCATTGTCTCTGAAACCAGATCATCAGTTATCATCATTCACCATTTCATTTCCAGAGAAATTTAAGGAGACATACTGGTATTATCTAATAAAAACCTTTGAGTCTCTGAACAAGATTCTGTAATGAGAAAAACCTCTTTACCCACTTAAGCTAAAACCTCATTAGCACTACTTTTACATGGTTCAATGTTTTGTATTTAGTATATACAGTGGAACCTGGTTAATACGGACACCAAGGGCACATGCCATAGTGACTGTATCATCCAGGTGTAGGTATATATATGGGGCTCTCAGAAAAAACTTCACAAACACAGGGCTGTCGCTAAAATTTCAGGTTGGCGGGTGAATACAATTAGTAGGAAAGGAATTGTACAGCAAGGAAGTTCTTCTACTTTCCTTTTGTTTTCTTTGAAAGTAGCTGGGGTTCCATCCTTGGAGACCCAGGGGCAGATAGTAGGGGCGAGGGAAAGTCTAAATGGGCAGAAAAATATAGCACGAAGAAAAGTAAAGAACGGCGAGAAGAGCCCCAGGGGACAATGTCTTACCAGACCAGTTCCAAACGGTCGCCGCCGTTCTGGCTTCTGATTGGGCAGAAAAACACAAAAGGTTTCTGGCACTAATCAGAAGCCAGAATGGCGGTGACCGTTCGGAACTGGTCTGGTAAGACATTGTCCCCAGGGGCTCTTCTCACCATTCTTTACTTTTCTTCGTGCCATATTTTTCCGCCCATTTAGACTTTCCCTCGCCCCTACTATCTGCCCCTGGGTCTCTGAGGATGCTGGGGCTCATGCTCATAGTAGCCAGGGAAAATCCCCGGCCCCCAGCGCGGACACATGTTTTAATAATCTTAAGACTAAAGGAGATATTTTTACGAGGAACTTAAGCAAGTTCATCCTAAAGAAACTTCATAAGCGTCTATCATAGTCTCAAACTCACCTTTCAAGCGGGGAAATACAACATTTGATTACTTTGTACTGATACGTTTAGTTTGCGACTTAGCTAGGTGTTCTGAGCGTTGGACAAAACTTTTAAAACCTAGGATAATTGGCTGTTTCTTCCCATGTCATTAAAGTGAACGTGAGAGTATGTGACTCGGGACATAGAAAAGTGTCCGTTGTTGTATTAACCAGTGTGTGTATAAAGCAGGTTAGTTTTAGGGAAAATGTATGAGCTTTTTGTTGGGACAAACAAAACTATCTGTTTTATATGGGTGCTAGTATTAAGTGGGTGTCTTTAAAAAGGGTTCCACTGTAGTTGTAAGGTTTGATTCTGTGCATTGAGTGCTACGGTTGGATGTACATGTACTACTGTAAAGTATGAGGTGAAGACAACTAAAGTGCTTCACACAACTACTTTGTTAGTCTATCTTTTCAATGCTTCTTACAATGATATATATATTGATAGTGGTTAAATCATATGATTATGGTTAAGGTAGCCTGTCCTGAGTGAATGATTGTCACTCATCTAATGGGTAAGAGATTTCTACTGAAACAGTAAGTCTAGTAACAAACAAAACAGTTTGACCATTCAAACGACATCTCTTTGGGAATCATTTTTTCACATGGTGCTGCATGTATTTGTTAGTCTTTTTTTTTTCTTTTTTTTTTTAATGATATTGAAAACATTGTTCTCAAAACACTTCGACTTTGGCCTGAGAGGTACTCCAATATATGGGCTAGATTACTGATAGGTATTTGCCGCCCAATGGGGTATGGGTTTTGAGGGTCTCCATCCTTAAATAGGCTATTATTGTTGCCCTTTTTGGGGGTTGTTTTTTCGGTGTGATCCTAAGATAGGGTACCGTTGTTATATCAGCTAAAATTTAAGTGCATAAATGCCCAGTAGCAGGGGAAACAAATCATTTGTTAATACTGAACTTTACCTTAGAGGGTCAGGAAAGCGATGTTAGGAGGATTTGTGTTTCCATTAAATTTTAGTTTTTCCTTTTCCCTTGAATTGGGTCTTATTTTTTAGGTTTGGGCCTTAAATGGGGTATCAGGTTTCGTTTGTCTCATCTTTAAATAGCGTAAAGGTTTAAGACCCTGGTCCTGGTTGGCACACACCCATCCGAAATTTATTGGAGTCCTCCCTGGGAATTGGACAACGTTTGGGAGTTTAAGGGTCTAAGTGTTTTTTATTATAATTATTTCTCAAGCGAGCTGAAGAGCAAATGGCAGAAATCCAGTATAGGTGCGAAGTTGCAGAGAAGAAACGTGCTCGCTCAGCCTTTGAGCGATTCCAAGAGGAAAAGCGTACAGCCCTGGAAAAAGCAGCTTACGAAGCAGAAAAGAGAAAGCAGGAAGAGATGAGAGCGCTTACAGAAAACCTCACCAAAAAGCTCAGAAATGAAGCAGCTTTACAAAGAGAAATCGCCCTTGGTGAAGCTAACCGACAACGTTCCCATTACTGTTTGAAACATTCGGATTTTTTATGTAGGTGGAAATATACTCCCAAAAGTGCCCTCTCATTGGTTACTTCAAGGTCACATGACATCTAATAATGGCAACATTCTCATGACCCACGAATGTTTAACGCTCGTTTAGATCTACTTTAATAAACTTGTATGCGTGAACTTTTTCTTCGTGGGCCATATCCTAATATGTAACAAATCACTTAATGACCCTGTGGTTTCCTGAAACTAGTTAATTTTTTTTCCTGAGGCGAGAGCCTCAGGGCAAAAAAATTAACTGTTTCTCTCGGAACGCGTGCGAGAAATTCACAAGCGAAATAGGCTTGTCTTCGTTCTTATTGGTGGAGATTTTTAGCCAGTAATAAGGCGAATCACTTGAAAACGAGAAAGTTTTGAAATTACCCGCTGTATATTAAGTCTTAGATGTCTGAAAACAGACTTTTTGTTTCGTACATTTTGGTCTTGAATTGCGAAAACCATGAATGACTCTGCAGTACATACATGATTGTTTGAAATATAAAGGAAATGTTTGAAAACATAGTTTACAAAGCAGTCAAAAAGACCTTTGGCCGAGACTCACTTCTTGTTTAACTTTGCCCACAGTGAAATAGAAAAAGCGTACATAGCACTGACATTATCCATTAGTTACATATTGTCTCTTGGCTTTCTACAGAAAAATGCCGAAAGGCGTCGACAGGAATCCATAGAAGAAACAAAACGAGAATGCGAGAGACAGGCAGCGGCTGAAGCAGCGAGGGTTGCTGAGATACACAGAAATAAATGTGATGAGTTCAATGAAAGGTAACGACCTGGTACTTTGATGATGCATAAAACGTCATTTGCGCAAAAAGCGAGCTCATGACCGTGGGTTTGTTTACTTTCAGCTATTTTTTTCACCACGAATGGCTCTTTGGAAGATTATTTAAGTAAAAATGATCCCGTGTGTGAATGAAAATTGTATCATCTACATGCTTGAATTGCTTTCGTTTAGGTGAGGATAAGGCCTTAAAGGGGATACTTCTATCATAGGGAGCATGAATTTTATTAGCGCTTGGTTAGGGACATTAAGACATGAATTGCACAACGTCTTCATTCACAAACGAAAAGAGATTCGACAGGTTCATTTCAAGTATATTTTAGAAAACCCAACGCTGGTAGTAACTTGTTATAAATAGAGACCGTCTTTTAATTTATGATTCTCGTTTCCTTTTTTCAGAATAAACCATCTAACCAAACTGTTGCGAAACGAGAACACCGAAAAAGTACGAGTGGAAGAATCATTTCATGTAAGTTCATATGCTACATTTTTCTATGCCCGTTCTTGACCTTTTGAAGACAAAACAGCAATTTATACAAAAACGGTCTACACGCTCAAAAGCTCTAAGCCCATACACCATTGTTAATAAAACGTTGGCTGCGCTTTGGCGCAACTGTATGATTGACCTCGTATGACACAGGCTTGGCTATTAAAAAAAAAACGTCAAAAGCTGGTATAAGGCGGATGTAGGAAGCAACGATACTCTCAAATTTGTCACTAGCCTTGAACGATCTTGAAGGACTGTTGGGATGCGGAGCAATTCAGGACAACGTCGTCGCCTGCTGCTCAAACAAAAACAACAACTTTTCTTACAGCTATCAGCGGTTTCGACATAGAAACGACGCAAAGGATTCATTTCGTGTTTCCCAAGAACCCCCTTCGCATGCGTTTTAAACAAGAATATTTGACCTCGAGCTCAACTTGAATAACAGCTATTAGCTTTAGACTACAAGAAGTCTCTCTTTTAATAATAATATGTTTTTCAAAGACAGTACCTGTAATAGCAAATGGGAGGTGCAAATGGCGCGTCGCTTCTCCTCGCGGGAAGCGATTTGCCACGTCTTTACGTGTTGCGTTATCTCAACTATCTTTCAGAAAAATATTAAAGATGATATGCTTATTGTGTGTATTAGCTATTAGTTGTTTGGCCTCATATCTAAAGATTTGCAAATTTTGTCTGTATGTAGCTTAGACGATTATCAACTATCCACCTAAACAACTGGATGAAAAAATATTGACAATATTGCTGCTCGTGGGATGTTTTGAATTCTCATCAAATCTTAATTATAGAGGCAGCGTGACACCTTATTTGATAATTACTTAACGCATAAACCTAGTAAATTAACTGTTAATTTAGACACTTGATAGTATTTCTGTTAATTTTTTGTTGGTCGTATTAGCATGCTTGGAAAATTTAGAAGTGTTAATTTTCTCCACATTCTGGAAGAAACCGTGTATTAAATATTTTGGTTAGAGTGATGAAAGCATGTCGACTGCTTTATTTTACGAAGAAGGCGATATCGCAAAATTACACCCCTAAAATTTGAAGTGTCAGTTCCCGGATGTCAGACGGCGTAAGTTGAACATGTGTTTGTCATTCTAAGCATTTCCCGCCATATGATGAATGTGTCCTTTCTTTTTGGCCTATCACTGCAAACAAAAGTGACATAATCAGCCAATCAGAACAAGTAACTAGCACAAGCGCGGGAAACGCGGAGTCGTAGACAAAACAAGAGAACACACAAGCTTGGCTTAGCCGGATTAGATTCTTTTTTGTTTCTAAAACAAAGCTTATATCTCTAATAAAAGTTAAGCATTTTGGCGAATTAGCTTAGCAAAACCCACCCGAGAAGCTTTTCCCACGTTTTGATATTGTTAATTCCATTTTTCTCTTCCAAGGGCTTCATTTTCTTAATCTGGAGCTGTTTTAAGTTTGCTTAATTTTTATGAAGCATTGATTTACGGTATGCTCATAACTTATGAATTAGGTAATCCATTGCTAGACGCTAAAAAGATCACCAATGCATGACTGCAGCTTTTGCGTAGGGAAACACATTGAAGTATACAAGGTCCCATTTGTAGTTCTTTTTTGTCAAATTACGGCCTATCTGTTTTCAAACTAAGCATTTCTGTTATTTTAATTTGTGGTAGATATTCTAAGTATTGCTTAAGACCGCAAAGAAGAAAAATGATGATAATCGATCGTTTTGCGGAAATCTGAAATTATTAAATTCAAGGAAAGCTTTCATCATTTGAGAAAGTGCCCGACGAACCTGTCTACATTTCTATCACTGTTGTCCGTATTTTAAAAAAAGAGGAATTCTAATGAAGAATTATCTCTCCATCTAGGAAATGAAAGAAGACTACAAGAGATTTCAAGATTATACCAAAGGATTTAATTCTGATTATCTTATGAAATGAGAGCGGCCAGACGATATCGGAACTTAGAAGGATAAACACTAATTTATTTTCATGAACATGTCTTTTCTGCTTACAGCTAAATTCCATCGGTTGAGGTTGTTTTGTCGCCGTATATTAAATAAGGAAATTGTATCTCTTGTCAGCTAAGTGGATCGATTTGCAAATTTCAAAGGAACGCGACAATTTTGTCTTACGGTGTATAACACAAATGAAAACCACCACATTTCTTTTGGATTTAGTGGTTTTCTTTCGATTAACTCTAGTTTGGGAAGTTATTTATTTGAAACTGTCTTTGCTTCCCTAAAATAAAATTTATAAATGAGGAAAAAGGTACGAATGGCCACACAATGAAATAGACAAAACTCAATAAACAATTTTTAACCACTTTTTCATTTTGTTCGTTGACTAGACAGAAACTTAATTTAAGGCAGTTTTTAAAGGAACTAAAAGAAAATTCGGAAAGGGGAAGGGGGTGGGTGGAATGATATTACTTTGCCAAGTCCTTCGGCCTCTTTATTCCACGCGGTCAATGCGTTTCTGTTCACGTGGTCCGTCACCAAAGTAATTGAAGGACTAGGGAAGTATTGCTTGCATCTGTTATGTTGGCAATGGAAAGGGCAAGCATCTAAAGCATTTTTCGAAAAGGTGTTGTAGTCTAGTGGTTTAACACAAGACTCCAAGCTGGCAGTCCACCGAACTCAAATAAACGCTCGTAGTAGGTGCCATGCACTTCCAAGTTAAGTCTTTCATATCTTAGCATAAGTACCAGTCCACCCGTGTACAGTAGACTGGGACCAGGTTTCTTACCCCCCCCCCCCCCCCCCCCCCCCCCCCCCCCCTTTTTTTTTTTTTCCCCTCCCCCACCGCCCCCGAAAGGACCAGACCGCCACCCCCCCAACCCCCCACCCCACCCCCCACCCTCCCCCCCTCGAAAACCACAAAACAACAAACAAAAACAAGAAACCAACATAGCCCAGACGCTAAGCNTCTGGGTGATGGGCTCCTGATGTAGGCATTTTTAAACCAACAATTCGCCATTTTCAGATTTCCCCATCATATACTTTGTTGCCCCCCCACCCCCCACCTTCACATAACCACCACCGCAATTTGCATACCTTTTGCTTTCAATCTCAATTGCAAAAAGAACTTTCCGCGCGCCTGTTCACACAGCGAAAATGTAGCCTCTGCTCGCAGGGTATTCGTCCCAAGAAACATTGAAGGACGAAGGGGGAGAGGGAGGGGGTACTGGTGCGCTCATGACTGAAATCCCGAACTAACGAATAAAATCATTGGTTTATCAGCCTTAACACAGTTAGTCCGCCCGGCTATTGCTTGTTATGCAAGCTACCAGCAAATGTCTCTCTCACTTGTATTCGCGTGTCTGCGCATGCCGGGCTATTGTACTATAGCTCCAACATCCTTGTTCTTAAGGCAGAAACATCCTTGTGCGAGGTTGCAACAAAACTAGGGAAAATGATTCATCTCGTTTTTGCGACAAATTAGTTTTAACTTGTCACTGACGTTACGATCTCCTAGGAGTGACTGGAGCGGATTTCGGATTGAGGACGCACAGATTTTTCCCTCGCAACTAACTACCCGCTGGTTTGCACTTCGTGTGTTATTTATTTTTAACCAGAAAGACCGCTATTTAATTTAAACGTGTCGCTGTGTACAGTGGCAAAATTTGGCCGCATGCTGTTTTTCACATTGTGATAACTTTGCATATGCGAATTTTAACTATTTCTGTTGCGGCATAAAATTTTAGAAATTAAAATTCCAGTAATTTCATTCCTCCTTAGAATGTTTTTCATTTCTGGCGGTTAAAGAAAAAGACTTTTGGTAGAAAATAAACGTTACAGTGACGTTATAGTTTAATTTGTTCGTCCCTTGTAATGTACGGGCCAAAATTAATTTGTACACAAGCTAGTTGGACTGCTGACCCATTGCGTACAACCAAACATATCCATTGTTTATAGTTCTGTAGATTTTCCAATTAAGTCTTATATTTCAGTGCTATATAACCACACGATAAAAACCGCGTGCCGTCGATAAAGAAGTACGACAGACCGCTTTTTGTTATTTTTCTGAGGGCTTGAAAAAAAAAATCGACGGAAAATTTTCGTTCTTCACTTCGGGGGCTGTTGCAACACAGACAGTTGTTTAATATATACATAAAGGGATTAAAAAATAATAAAAGTGTTTCATTTATCTTTTTAAAATGAATTCTCTTTATTAGCTAGTCGAAATCTCATTTCTTTTAGAGACTATATAAACTTCTTGGAAATTCATTTCTAGTTTCTTCGACTCATAACAGAACTTTGATTTGCTTCAATTTCACTGAGCTCGCTCGTCTCGTGTTCTATGTTTCCATTTTGTTCTATTTCCTTTTTTGGCTCCATGATGTTTTTGTAATAAAGGGTGTTAAAATTCGACACGAACGTTAAAACGGGCAGGGCGAGGGTCAAAGCGCCAAATATCGCGCAAGCTGCCGACATGAGCTTCGCAAACGGGCTGTGAGGAACCATGTCTCCATAACCGATAGTTGTAATGGTCTGAAGCGAAAACCAGAACGTAGCTGGTACACTGATGAAATGGGTTTCGCTACTCCCAAGTTCAATGTAGTACAACAAACTAGCAGAAATAATTACGGTGAAAAACAGGCACAAGATGAGAAGACCGAGCTCTCGGACGCTCTCGAGGACGCAGTAACCAATTATTTGAAGGCTTTTGGAGTAGCGGGAGAGTTTGAAAATTCGGAACACCCTAACAACACGCAAAATTCGCAGCACGGCGACTGAGTTTGTTTCGGACTTGTTCAGGAGCAGCATGATGTAGAAGGGAGCAATGGCAGCGAGATCAATAAAGTTTAAAAGCGAAGTAAAGAAATGAAATTTGTTGGGAGAAGTGAACAACCGAACTAAATACTCGATCGTGAACCACGCATTAAAGGACAATTCGAGGAGGAACCAAGTGTTATGCGTGTCTGTAGAGGCATCTTCCGTCACCGTTGAGTTCGTCTCGTTGTTGTTCAACTCATTTGACTTTATGGAGGGAATGGTCTCCACAATAGAAACTGTGATTGCTAGTACAATAACAGTGACGGAAAAGACAGCCAGGCAAGAGGCAGCTGTTGAAGTGTCAGGTTGATCGAAAAGCTCCCAGACAATACGTTGAAGTCTATTTTCGGGACACTCTTTGCTGCCATCATTGAGGGTGATATAACCCTCTTTTAGACGGATATCGCTCAGAACGTCGTCACCTAGTTCGAAAAACTCAATTTCCTGCTTGAAAATACTCATCGGTACATCAGCGGGTCGCTTAAGACGTCCGCGAGATTGGTAATAGTACAGAATAGCCTCGAAGGCTGAGCGGTTTCGATTGAAGAAGTACTCGTGAGTCTCCGGCACATAGAACTTTTTCCTCTTCTCCTCACTGCCCAGCAGCGTCTGTGGAAAACGCGACAGTGTTTCTTGACGTGTTTCAAAAATCATCCCGCTCACATTTATTACAACCCGGTCGTCGTAGATAATGGGTTGGAGCGTATCTCGCCTGCAACTCATGGCTTCGGGTGTCTGAGTAGATGTGTAAGCAGGTCCCTCGCCAGTCTCACGATCTCTGTTTTAGAACTGATCCATTAAACAGACCGCTCTCACGTAAACAACCATCACATACCCGCGAGAGCGCGTATGCAATCAATAATTTCTACAACCCTTTTAACCTGCAAGTTTTACATCAATAATTTATACTCGAAACAGTGTAAATCTCAGGACACGAAGAAGACAGCGCACAGGTTTATCTGAAATCCATTATTTTCACGTTGCAGTAGATAATTGCATATTCAAAAGGTAGGATCTAAATTCAAATAATGAAGGATATTAACACGAAAAAGAACAATATACATAATTAACGCGTACTAGTGAAATTTTCGAGTGTTCTTATTTGTGAATTCAAAGACACCTGTTCCCTTTGAAACCCTTTTTCTGTATTTAACTGAGTTTTGAATCTTAGCCTGACATTTATTGCAAAACAAAACAGTGCAATTTTCACAAAAGCGTGTGTACGTAGTTTTGTCATTACAACGATAAATTAAACTGAAAAACTACCAAGACACTTCTAATTTTATTTGTCAAGCAAATTTCAAAGACTAAACAACGCTGTCTAACTTAGAAATTTCTAGACGTTTTAGAATTAATCTTTGTAAACACACTTACCGCAATATAAGCAAAACCCACTAAACTTTTATGATCTGTTTTCAAGTAAGATACAAATAATGCAAGCAAAGGGGCTAGATGTATCTTTCATTTATTGTATAAAGAGTGTTTGAACTTTTCAACTGATTCTTATTTTGACTTATTTCCAAGCTCCTTAAATTTGGTCTGCCTTAAAGGTGAGTGGAGTGTTATGATTAATACAGTAACGTTTCGCGGTAGGTGTTATACCTATGAAATTTGAATTATCATGCTGGAGCCAAAAGTCTTGCAAAATTTGAAAATTCAATCATCTGTGTTTTACCTCTTTTTGTTTCTAAAGAATTTTCTGGTGTTATTTAATTGGAATCTTTAATTCACGACAAAACTCCTAGGCAACCCTAAACTGTCGATGAATATAACAAAAAAGGTGAAAAACTTGGCACAGATATTAACTAATAATGACGATAATTAGTGCTTGGTTTGCCGAAACCAGTGGTTCTTGTGATTTTTGGTTTGTAATCTTGGCGTGCCCTGCAGTGTAAGCTTGCGTGCTTTATACAAAGTTTAAAAAACATTTCCAGTTCCGTAATGCAAATGACTTGAAATAATGGCAAGAGCTTTTGCTCAAACGGTAACAGGTCACGCGTCAGGATTTCACCTTCTTCTGTCGGTAGCCGATGGCATCCTCCCAGAAAAATACTATCGATATAACCGGGATAGTTCCATTTAATAAATGCACTTTTTACGGTCTGGTTTAAATTAAAGGTAATAGTTTTCGCCCAAATTTGAAATAAAAAGAAATTAACATTAGCACAGAAAAATACCACTCGCAATATATGTAGAATAAATACATCTAGCAAAATTCGTCATTCTGTTGACCAGAGGCTTCCTTCCATGAACACACAAATCAGGCAATTGTGCCGTAGTAGGTCGTTACGCTTTGTCTGGAGCCTAAACTGAGCGTGCAGACGACAACTTTCATCAATAGGACAATTGCACGATAACGATATTTGACTACAACTACCAGAATTCGGTTTTGCTTTGTTATTTAAATTTATCAATCCCGCTGAGGAGTGAAGAACAATAGCCTTAATTTGCACAAGAAAACAACAAACTCAAGGACAGTCTGGTAGTTGTAGTAAAACTAGAACCACTGCGTGGAACTTACCGGGGCCCAGTGGAACACGGGATTGCATAGTTTACCTCTCGCACCCCTCCCCCCTCCTCTGTGGAGGCTTTGATTCTCGATAAATTTCACGATGGAAGGTTCACTCAATGTAGATAGCTTTGATAAGTGATTAACTCTTAAGTGATCGCTCGTAAATTTGTCTCTCCAAATATTCACTCTTAAATTTTCGCTCATAAACTAGTGCATCGTAAAGGTTGGGGAAAAAGCTATAATCTTTCTCTTGACTGTCCTCCATGCCTCGTGCTTTTCAAAATAGGGGATAAGATTTCAGTGAGCCAGCGATATATCTCAGTCAGCGATATATCCCTAACAATGTAACGTTGAAAAAAAGACAGAAACCGTCCGCATTTTAAGACCGGTGCCAGCCTTCGGCTGGGCCCCGGTAATGACGTCATCATGCAATTGTCCCTTTCATCAAGAAGAAATTAACGGCATTTTGGAGACGCATATCGCATTTAAATGACACTCGGAGGCCAGAAAAAAACCCTACAAAAAAAAAAAAAACCAAACGCGAAAAGGGAAAAATTGAGGATAGCAGGAAACAAGCCCAAAATTCCACGACCTTTCCTAGGAGGTCAAAAAATGAACGTCAGGATAATAATTACAAGATAAAGCTAAACTTTGCCGGCAGAGAAAGAAGCGTAACTACCGACAATGAACGTCAAAGTTTTTTTTCGAAATACGCGATAACGGCTTGCATACTCGACACTGTCTAGTTATACAAAAATAATAATTCTTCGATCCATGCACACATTTAATGAGCATGCAAGCTAGCGCTTTCAGAAGTACCTCGTTAAACATGTTAAATGATCATTCAAACCATCTTTACAAATAATCAACAGCTAATACGATAGCGGGTAGAGATCAATTCTCTCCTAAAGCTACGCAACCGAAGAAAAGTTTCAATCGTATAGTGAAATTCCATGGTGTTACCATTCAAATGAAATCTCTTTAGCAGTACTTTCACATGGTACTATTTATTTAGTATGTAGTTCTAACTTTTGAGTCTGTGGATGAAATCCTAGGGTGTGACCATTCAAGTGAAACCTCCTTGGGCTATTTATTTTTGTGGATTTTACCAAAAGAAATTTGGATTTTTTGCGAATATGAGTACAAGGGTTAAATACTATTTTGATATCGTTAGGTAGAGGCTACGCCAAGGTCTTTACACTAGCGCTTGTATGAAAACAATATTTTAATCCCGAGAAATGAAGAATACCTTGCAGTTAGGTTTCGTCAACTCTCCAAGTTGCTTAAAGCACGAAATCCTAAAGCCTTGCCGGAGCACAAGGACATTTCATTGATCTTTGTGCCCGATCTAACAAAAGAAACTTGGAGTTTTCGTGAATTGTTTTGTTTGGTCACTACTGAATGAAATTCAACAACATTGTGAAGAAACAAAGAGGATTTATTTGTGTTAGCCTCACTTTGCATAAAGAAGTTGAAGAGGAGGGAGTTGACGAAGTCGCCGGGGTAGGGTGCTCTTTAGAATTGATTTAAAACGTGCGCGCTTTTTTCGAGGGAATACGTTACAGTTGAATGGTTAGATTTTAGCACGTAATTCACACTCTTGAGGAAAGAACAAAGGGAATTTTATGTTTAATGGCTACTTTTTAATGTGATAACCACGATGAAGCTTTTAGCAACACTTTTGCGGACAAAATTATCCAAAAACCAAAGGATTATTGCAATAAATATTTATACATCTACAGAAAACGTTTTGATGCAGTTCATTAAACTCTGATTTTGTCTTCCAGTTAGCTCCCGCTTGTGTTATAAACGTGATAAATAGTACTCTCTATTTAAATTCATTTGTTTTTACGATTTGAGCTTCATCCCACAGGACACCCAGCATTCTAAGGACTACAAATAGATTTTAGGAACAAAATAGTGGTTGGTCTCTTTCAAGGAGTGATCAATACACACTACCGTAAGCAATCTTTGCAGCATTGTTGAAACCATGTGCAACAAAGCTGCATGATTAAAAATGTACTACAGTACCCAGGAACATTTTCACAACCGAGTCCCCACGACTCGAATGTCCATTACAGTAAAGAGTAGATTGTAGATCTCTTTGCATCCTGGTTGTTAGGGTGACTCTTCTCTCATCTCCTCTTGGGTTGTCACATTGGTTGACAAGATGCCCTGGGGAAGAGGGTGGTTCCTTGTGCAGAAATTTACACAGAAGAGTCCTTTAGGTTCAGTTTTCAAATCGCTGAATCCTTCTTCTCCGAATTTCATCCACACTGTCTAGTTCAGGCATTCGGCTCCCAGAAGGGTAAGGTAACGTTCCACCTGGGTATCCATTCATGCCTTGTTCTACTGGGGGAGCTGATGGTTCTGGCTGCACTCTCGGATACAGTCCTTCCCCTTGTAGGGGGTAGGGTTGGGGATATGAAAACTGTCCATCAATGTAAGATGAAGGATTGCGTGGAATTCTGGGATAGAGGCTGTCTTGATGGGTGGGGTAGACTGGTGTGTGTGAACTTGAACCAATTCCAGGAGAGTTGTACCCTCCTGTGGGGTAAGGTGGTGATCTTGATGATGGTCCTCGCCTTTGAGGCCCTGGGTTGTTGGACCACCTGGAAGGTTCCCCTCCAGCATCATCAAGGCTCTCTCTAATTGCAGACTGTATACCTGGATCATAGTCATCTAAAGATGGGGGACGGTTCATGTGGGTTTCTCTGAGACTTGCTCTGATGGCCTGACGTAGGTCCTCATCTTCAGAATCACTTGATTGAGTTGAATAACGCCTGCGACCTGCAAGGTAAGACACGTCGTAAGCCTTTTTATCTCTAGATTTAGTTATGGACATGTGACAAACTA